AAAAAAAAAAAAAAAACAGCCCTAGAATATTATCTGTTCATGACGTTTTTGTTGTTTCTTTTCTTTCTTTTCCTTTTTTTAGATGAGCTATTCGACAAATAATAATAATAATAAAAATAATAAATTTTTAAAATTTTTTATTTACATGATTTAAAATTTAAATTTAAATATTTTTATGTAAAATTTTTACATTTTTACTGATTAAAACTTTGTAGTTTCTTGTTAATTAATAGAATATTTATCTTTTTTACATAAATATGTTAATATTAGAATATTTATCTTTTTTACATAAATTTGGTACACAATCTTTCCAAATTAATGAACCACGTCAAAATCTAAAGTGCTTATGTAATTAATTAATTAACCATTGAGATCTGATAATGTAAGGAATCACAAGGTTTCTTTGCCTATTCATGAACTTGTTAATTAATAAAGGGACCCCTATTCCCTAAGTAACTATCAAATTGCCATCTTCAGTCTTCACCTTGTTCCACTAACTAGTGATGTCTCAGTCTTACTATCATTCAAAATGAATTATAGGAAACGTACTTATATATGGTTCAATGGATTATAGTACTTACGATGGGGTGTACATGAAGTATTTGAGAGGAGGGAAAATGGTGAAGATCCACTTAGGGATGAGCTCGAAGTTGCAGTGTCCCATGTTGTTCATCAAGTCAATGTAAGTGATGTAACCAGCATAAGCTGCTATGGAGGCAGTTCTGGTGAACAAAACCGTCAGGAGCGGTATTGAGAAGAGAGCGAAGTATGCTATGTGCTCTGCAAACGGATGAATAACGGCTGCCATTTATAGAAAAAAACCAAAAAAAAAAAAAATCATTCCTTTTTCTTGTTTTTTTTTTCTCACACTCCATAGGAGAATTACGTAGAACAGTTTGAGGACATTTTGCATACATGTGATGGGTTCAGTTGCAATGGAGGAATGATGATGAGAATGGTAGCGATTGTAAAGATAATGGTGGTGAAGTGCTCGATGAAGCCAGTAGTAGAGGAACTCCACCGGTCCGGCATGTAACAGCGCCGTTAAAATCACGCCGTCGGTTCTCCAAAGAGGAGAGTGAGAACCTCCGGGAAGAACGATGTTAAAAAAGTAGAACACTATTGCATTAAACAGTATCTGATCATCCCTGAAAAACAAAAACAACCCATCTCAGAAACAGACAAAACACAAAGATAGCATTCAACTAAAAATAGACAAACCTAGTTTATTTTATATTTAATTCATGTATTTTTTTATTAATTTATCGATTCTCAAAATTTCTTGAGATAACGGAGTCTTTCTTAACCAATTTCTTTCTCGGTCGACTTGGTCGAACTCAATGGGCTTATCGACGATCCTGTTGTTGCCCTTTGCAGTACGGTAACGAGAAAGGCTGATCCATATCTGGTTATGAAGCATTCTCCATAGCATAAGTGGAAAAATGAGGAAGTTGGAAAGATCCCTCTCATTTTCACCCTTGTATATGAAGGAATACGTGCTTTCTATAACCCAAGGTGCCAAGATTATGTGCTGCAAAAAAAAAATTAAAAAAAATGGTGAAAACAGAGCGCGTATGAACATAAATGCAAGCTGCAATTAATATCTACAAAAAGATGAAAACTTTTCTCTTTATATAAGTGAAAAAATAGACAAAAGGAAGAAAAAGTTGAGACCTTGAAGCTCCCAAGGGGTGTCCATGGCCACTCAGTGAGGATTCCAGGGGTAGAAGCCATGTTTGATCTTTCATTAGAGGGGAGCTAAGCTCTTATATGGTAGTAATGTTGCCTACGTCATTCCAAGTTGGTACTTGGTACGGCGGTTGGTTTGTTGCTGCAAGGCCCCAATTACCATAACGAGTGTACTATTTTACCGTTTATATTATAAAATAAAAATATTTTATAAGACGAGAGTGGTTGGAATTAAAATTCTTTTCATTAAAGGATTAATATTTTATAATATAAAATAATTTAAATTATAAATTTTTTTTTAATATAATATAGTTGAATAAATTTTATCAATTTACAATTATTTAAAAAAATAATTACTTGTAATGTTT